GGTACGAACAGCTACAATAGCCACACCATTTTAATTTCACACTTGCTCACTCCACTTAGGAATATCCTCCGGATATCCTCAACCATTTACCAGTTTTCAACGCCCACGTGCCCTGTATCGGCATTGTAGCCCCATCTTTCTCCCATCTCCATCCTTCTGTGGGCTTCCCTATGGCGAATTGAGATTTTAACTTCTCGGGACAAAGCCGCATGACTACCAAGCGCCATGCGCATGAGTGACGCCGACCAACAACCAAGTATACTAGCTGCACTGTTTGCGCATAGGGTTCAAAACGCCCTTTCCAGAACAGCAGGATATTATTTGCATTATATGAATGCAAGTTCCTGCACGCTGTTCAAAAAATGCTCTCCCACGCACACAGCTTGCCACACCATGGAACGATCCCGCGCCGGCTCCTCCTCGCAGGGAGAGAACGCAGGGCCGGAGCTGCACCTGGAAAAAGGATGCGTCACAGCCGGGCTGTTCTATCTATGGTAGACCGGCTGCGTCCCGCTCTCAGGCTGCCTTAGGACTCCTCCGCTGGGGGCGGGGGGCTATGCCGTCATCTCTGTGCGACAAGAGGCAAAAGCGGAGGGAGGGAGGGACAATCCCTCACGCGACTAATAGAATTTGTTTTCCCCGGCTGTCATGGCTTCCGCGGAAGGAGAGGTGCCTTTGAATCCACCTGAGGACCCCGCTCTGCTGAGGGACTCCTTCGAAGAGCCGGTCGGAGAGGTCTTGAGAGGTTCCCTGCGTTCGCTGCCTCGGTTGATTGGGCAGGTTAGTGAGGAGGGGGAACGAAGCCATATCTCGGCTTGGCGCGGGGACAGGTATCTAGAGAGCGGTCTGCCCTGGCTTCTTTTGCCGCCTCCGCTCTCAAAATGCCCAGGGTGGAAGACCCCGGGATAGCGGGGTTGAGGCGAGCCTTGCTTGGCGGGGAGGCCCCGAGGCTCACCCCAAGTTGCTGTAGGGAGAGCCTGAGGCGACGGACTGTTTGAGGGAGAAAAGGATGAAGTAGTAGAGCCTTAAACGTTTGCTTGGCTTGGAGGAGGAACTGTGTTAAACGTGGCGAGCGCGCTCTTCCCACGTTTTCTCCTTCACGTCTTTAGATGCTGTTAGAGCCGTCGCTGTAGCTGATGTGCCTCACCAGCTTAATGCAGCCGTTCTGAATGTGATATGTGGAAGGAATTCCCGTCGCGTTCTTTGGGGGAAATCACTGAGACACAGGGAGCTCCTTTTGAGATGTAATCATTAGGCATTCAAGATTTGGAGTATTTTATAGGGTTTTGCTTTCATGTTTGATTTAGTTGTAAAACGGTAGTTTTCTTCGATGTGCTGTCTGGTGCCTTGTTCTCTGTCATTTTAACAGGATTACCTATGGGTAATCGAGGCTTTCAGAATGGTATATACAGTTCACCTTCCCTTAATCTTTCAGAGCAGAGAGACACAGATGTTACAATATGTCATGCCCGCATGAATGAGGCATTGCATGACTTCCATACACACATTCTTGGGGGGAGGAATGTCTGTTTTATCTCCTTTTCATCTCTTTGTTCTGTTTTAAATAACTTCCTTGTTTGCTAATTGTGTGGCTGATATTTAATAGTCTGCCAGCAATGAATAACAAATCATTTTGGTCCAAAATTGATATTATAACTTAGCCCAAAGAAGGGGAGGGGGAAAAGCCATGTGGATCTCAAAATCTTTACAATATCTTTACATATGGTTTTAAATAACTGAGTACCTATGCACATGCATCTGTAAGTTTGAAATGTTATAGCCTAGCCTTGGAAAGAATAATAAGATCTTGTTTTAAACTTTAATTTATGTTCTCAAAGAATATGTGCTCTTAAATTAGGAGAAATATGACAAATGCAGTCCCATCCTCAAAATTTTCTCTTGCATCCTTGAGTTTTTCTGCCTATTTCAGTTAAAGATAAGCAAATACTGATCCAGATATCATATTTCTAGTTGGTAAATGTTGTTGGTAAATGATTGATGTAGTATATTATTTTGATTGTCTAAACTTTAAAAAAGTACACTGAAAAGTTAGAGATGATGAAGAGAGAAACCAGAGCCAGTTCTGTTACAACGCTGGAAGGATTTGTTATAATGAGAAAGAACCAAAAGAGTAAAGAGCTGTAATTTCAAGATTTGTAATATGTCTTTGCCAAAGTCCATCTAGTAGATGGAAATGAGGTGAGTAGAAATTAGTTGACTGCCTACTTTAAGTGACATTTTCTCCTTTGGGGAAACAGTTGGATTTAGATCTAGAAAAGGAAGGTTCAAGAATTTATTTTGTGGCCTTGGCTATATTTCAGAGACTATCATACCTCCATGATCTCTTAACATTATTAGATATCTACTTCACTTATAAAGATTGAAAACAGTTTTTACAACTGGATACCACAGTGCTCTCCATATATACTTAAAAGTAAGCCATTAAACTCAATTTGAATGTCTTCATATAGAATTGCAGCCAAGAATCTTACAAAAAGTTTGGCAAGTAGGAACAAATAGAAATATTTTGCTTTTTAATTAAAAACTGCTCTCTTCCACTCTGTATAACATCTTAATTTTACAACTAAGTAAACTAGAAGATAGTCACCATAATCACTGGAGCATGGAAGTACAGAACTAAATATACTTGCCTGTCTCACATTCTTCCCCATCTTGCAGGAAAATCTTCAACATAAATTGTGACTTCTTAAAATATAGGGCTGAAATATATTTGTGTTATCCAACAACATTATGTATCATTATTTAAATGCTCATAGTAACTTTTGCTACAATTATGCTTAAAAATATATCTTAAAAAAAGAAATACATTTATGTTTTATAAACTTATAAACTGCACATGAAAAAAGTATTGTCCTCTGGACTTAGGAATATCTAAAATACTCTTGCCTAATAGGAACTTTTCATGCTGTGTCATAGTTGCTGATGACATGAGTAGAGGAAAGGCATTGGTAGCAACCAGAAATAGTATTGTGATGATTGAGTTAAGCCAGAATGTGTTATTATCTGGCTATATGCCCTATACTTAAACATCAGAGAAATAGGAACTGTCCAAGTCCTTTTGAGAAAGATTATGGACGTACCTGCAAATCTGTTTATTTTAACTACCGTGTTTAGGATATCAACATTTTGTTGTGTCTATCAGTCTGCCAGCAGAATAAACACTAAAGTTTTTATTTTATTTTACTTTACTTGATTTTGTTTGTTAGATTTATAGCCTGTCATTCCTCCAGAAGCTTAATGTAATATGCACAGCGCTTTCTCCAATTCTCCTCCACAACAATAATCTTGTGAAGTAGATTGGGATGAGGGACATTGGTGGCTTCAGATTGCCCATGAGCTTCCATGTTTGAATGTGGACTTAGACTTGGGTGTGGTTAAATAACCACCATACCATAATTGTCCAAATATGTTGGGATTATCTGAAGCAATTTTAGATAGAATGTGGGACAGAAGAGATGAGAAACACGTTACATATTGTCAGTCCCTTTACTCTCTACACATACAGAAGTCTGTTTATCTTACATTTATTGATTTATTGCACTTGTATCTCATCACACTCGCATAGAATTCTCAGCAGTTTTACAAGAATACAAACATTAAAACACCCATAATCTAGTAAAATGCAAAAACAAAAAAAACCCCATAAGGCACAAAGCAGAAAAACCAAAGACACAAAACAGGAAAATGCTAGAAAACCATCCAGAGAAGGCAAGTGTCAAGCCCCAAACACCGTCCAGAAAAGCTCCATCTTCAGCTGTTTCCAAAAGACAGCTAAAGTGAGGGCCAAACTTTCAACAGGAGGCCATTTCAGAGGGCTGGCATTGCTGCAGAAAAGCAATGCTTCCCCCCCTCCCCCAACTCCCTTATTAGCTGCTGTTCCTGGCAAAATTGATTAGGTCAGGCCACTTCTAGTGGTTAAAAGAAGCTTGGTGCCATGCTATAAAGGGCTTTATAGGTTAACACCAGCCCTTTAAATTAGGAACCCAATGCAGGACCCATAGCACAAGATGCAGTGTGCTTCAACTAGTGAATGCTAGATAATGCACAAGTTACTGCATTTTGGATCAATTGAAACTTTAAATTTGAAAGATTTAAACTTTAAATCTTAAAAGGCAGGCCCATGTAGAGCCTGTTCCAGTAGTCTATCCAAGTGATGACAAGGGCATGAATCTTCTCACCCCAGGAAGGGCCACAACTGGTACACCAGCTGAAGCTGAGCAAACACACTCCTGGCCACAGCTCCCCCCTGCTGTTCAGACAGGAGTTACAAGTCCAGAAGGACTCCCAAGGCACAGACCTGTTCCTTCTGGGGTAATTCTTCCCCATCCAAAGTCACTGTTAGAACTGCCGGAGCACCCTGATTAACAAACAGTAACTCTGCCTTGCTAGGATTCTCTTTTAACCCATTCTCTTCCATCCAAACTCTTACAATCTCCAGACACCAGGATAAGACCTCAACAGTCTCTCTAGTGTAGCCCAGGATAGCAGTGTAAAGCTGAATATCATCAGTGTTCTGATGACACTTCACCCCAAACTGGCAAATGGTCTCACGCACTGGATTCATGTACATATGAAACAATAGGGAAGAGAGAGATGACCTCTGTGGCACTCTACAGAGAAGCAGCTACAGAGATGACCTCTGTCCTACCACCACAGACTAGAACTGGCCTCTAAAAGAGTGAAACCATTATAAAACAGTGCCCCAATCCCCAACCTCTGAAGTCAGTTCAGAAGGATACCATGGTACTGAAAGCTGATGAGAGGTCTAAAAGAACAGGGCAGGCATGCCACCGCCATCCAGATCCTGAAGAGATCACCCACTAGCATGACCAAAGCTGTCTTTTGTCTCACACTCATACCTGAATCTTGACTGACAAGCATCCAGATCATCTGTTTCATTTAGGGCATTTTGTAATTCCTCTTTCATCACTATTTTAACAGGAAGGAAGGAAGGAAGGAAGGAAGGAAGGAAGGAAGGAAGGAAGGCAGGCAGGCAGGCAGGCAGGCAGGCAGGCAGGCAGGCTGGCAGGCTGGCAGGCTGGCTGGCTGGCTGGCTGGCTGGCTGGCTGGCTATCCAGCCTCTTAAAGAGGGAATGTAGTACAGCTTCTTTGAAGGCTTCCAGCAACACCCCCTCCTGCAAGGAGGCATTGACAGTTTCCAAGATCCAGACAATAATCCCTCTCTGGCTACACAAAGAGGGCATGGAGGGCAAAGGACATCCTAGAAGGATTACAGAATTTGTATTGAAATATTTCAGGGTTAGGTAACCTTTTGTCCTTTAACTCTGGTTAGCCTAACATAGTTGGAGTCAGTGGCATCCACAGGGGGACATGGGAGGCAAATGATGAAAACAGCATTATGCTTACTCAAGGCAAGCTCCACCTGTTTTGGACATGTTTTGTAATGTTACATGTATAAAAGGGGAGGAGCTTCCAGCATAACACTGCTTCTGTCATTTTGACAAAAGCAATAGATCCTGTGGATGCCTATGGTAAGAGTTGTAGTCTGAAGCATCAGAAGGACATTACTTCTGTCACTTAAAGGATATATGACCATCTGATTAGTTTAATTGTGGTTTGTTTGCTTTTTAAATAGGACCTATAATTCTCCATGCAACAGCTTTCTGAAATCAGATTCTTTGGAAAGGACAGACAGAGATTGTGATCTAGTACATATAATAATCAAAATTTGAAATATTCCAAAGAAGCTTAAAGAGATCTCACACACAGACATATTTTTTTCAAAACAATTTTGTAAAGATCTTTACATGAGCTTCATGATTGGGATGAGATTTAAATACTGGGCCTTCTGAGGCTAGTCTGATACAGGCGGTCCTTGTTTAACAACAGTTCAAGCTTATGATGGTGCTGAATGAATGGTAGTTACAACCAGACCTCATACTTATGGTCATTGCAGAGTCCCGCGGTCACGTGATCATGATTTGTGACCTTCCCACAAGCAAAGTCAGTGGGGAAGCTGGCAGGAAGTTGGAAGTCACAGTCACATGAGGTCCTTGTTTAACAACCCGCATGATCCTCATTTAACAATGGCTTCTGGGACTGCCGTTGCTAAGTGGTGCAATCACCTGGTTTTTTGACTTACGATTGCATTGCTTAACAACAGAGTTTCCGGTCCCAACTAGCGTTGTTAAATAAGGACTGCCTGTACATTGTGCACTAATATTCTGCTCTGAGTTTCTGACAGTGTTGGAGAAATCTCCTTGTGCATACAGTATGTGAATGGAGACAGCCCCTGTGTATGTCCCTAAAACCTCTGCATGTGTTTTATCGCCCAGAGTCACTGGGAGTCAGGCAGCATATACATTTAATAAATAATAATTATTATTTAATTTTAGCCTGCTTTTAATCAAAGATACTCAAAACATTTTAAACATGTAGTAAGTCTGTGACATTCCATAAACTGAACCTATTCTAAATAAAACATTTAAAATCCAGTCTAGCTGAAGCAAGAATTAAGCATTTAGTGATACCTAGCCTACCTTCTTCCGCTTCTCATCAGTAACAAAACATATATTATCACAGTGTGTAAATTCAGTCAGAATAAGTGATGGATATGATTTCTGCTGAGCAGTCTTGAATAGTTATCTACTTCCATATATGTACTTCCATATTTGCAATACCTATAATTTGGAAATATCTCTTTAGGTTCCTCTAAGAAAATTTTGATGCCAAAAATCCTAACTACTCATGCAAACTAATCCGAGCTAGCAGTGACTGATGAAGAGAGAGATCTTGGAGTAATGGTAAACAGTTCAATGAAGATAACAACCAGTATGCATCCATAGTAAAAAAAGGCCAGCATCATGTTAGGGATAATAAGAAACAGTACTGAAAATAGATATGCCGATATTATAGTGTCCTTATATAAATCAGTGGGTGCGACTGCATGTGGAATATTGTTTGCAGTTCTGGTCACCTCTCTTCAAAAAGGATAAAGTGGAGCTAGACAATGTTCAGAAGAGAGCAACTAAGATGATCAAGGGACTAGAGGAGCTAAAAGTTTGCAACATTTGGAGTTTTTTAGTCTAGAAAGGAGGCAAATGAGAGGGGACATGATTAAGATATACAAAGTTATGCATGGTGTGGATAAAGTGGACAAGGAGAAGCTAGTTTCTCCTCTCCAAATTCTAGAACCAGAGGTTGCCCAGTGAAATTGAATCCTGGAAGAATCAGAACAGACTGAAGGAATTTTTTTTTTTTTTACACAACATGTAATTCAACTTTGGAATTCGCTATTACCAGATATGGTCCTGGCTATCAGTTTGGCTGGCTTCAAAACAAGGTTGGACCATTTCATGGAAATCATGGACATCAATGGCTATTAGTCTGAGGGAAGTGTGACGGCCTTTGAAGGCCATCTGCTGGGAGACTAATGGGCTTTCTTGGGCAGTTGGTTGGCCACTATAAGAACAGATTGTTGGACTAGATGGACAAGGGGTCCAATCCAGTAGGGCACTGTTTATGTTCTTAAATTCTAAAGTATTATACAGTGATTATTACACTGAAAGCAAAATTGATACAATACATGACTAATCTATTCTTAATTCTGTCAAATACTTCTCTGCTTTCCTTATATTCTTTTTCTGTTAAATATCCTGATTTTGTTATTTATTTTCCCTCTCACATAATTGATCAACTGCTTCTAGAACATTTTTAATATAGGGACCAAAAAGTATCCTTCTAGACAGTTTAAACAGAATATTGCTTTCTCTATTCGTATGATTTGAATTAAAATATATATTTCATTGAGAACAGCCAAATTATTAGGATACTTCCAAACCACCTAGGTACCTAAAATTTCAGTACATTCATAATGAAAGTTACCTGCCTCAGAGCAAGGCAAACCTTGTGTCTTCCTGAAGCTTGTAATTAAAAATATAATTTGGAATAATTATAAATACCTCAATTTACTAGCAAGCTGAAATTTGACAGTCACAGAGCTTAGTGAGTCAAGATTTCTGGAAAAGGATAATTTATTTTAAATAATCAAAACTTAGGAACTTCTTAATGGAGACCAATAAATTCCAACACGAAACCTGGCAAAGCTGAAATGAACTGTAATAGGGATTTTTTTGCCCCATTCACCCTACTGAATTATGCTTTGAGTGAGAACTACAGGGTTTTCAGAAGTACCTAGGAATGAAGATAGATAATAAACCACAAACAGATTTTTATCCTGATTGATAGATAGATAGGTAGGTAGGTAGATAGGTAGATAGATGTAAAAATGTGGGCTTGCAAAATATAAAATATATTAATCTGAATGAATTAAATTAATAGCTAGAAGTTTAGGTAGCATGTTCTAGTTTTTTACTTGCAGCCTTACCAACTTTTCTCATACACACTCTTACAGTATCTCCTGGTGGAGTTCTGTTGGAGTGCATGGAATTTGCAGAGCAAATTCTCAAATTGTATTTCCACTAGGATGCATATGAAGAGCTATATCCAGTTGTACTTGTTCAAGTAATGGAATAGTATTTGTCAGGGAATCAATTCTTACTTTTCCCCATCATCCAAATCTGATTTGGAGGACTGAGAACCCTTGGAGAGATTTGGAGAATATGAGAGGGCAGTGAGACAGTAGATTAAATAAAAAACATGTTGCGTGCATGTAACTACAAAAAAAAAAAAATCATTTGAATTATTTTAATTTCGGGCTACATAGCTAACGCATTTTCCAACAATAAACAGGTATTACTGTAGTTCAAACTAAATATTCACAATTTCCATTGTTTTACTTTGGATCTGCACTACCAACCTGGAATTCTTTATTTTACCTGTTTGCTTATATTATCATTAACTGATTTCACATACTGATTCAGACTAAGCGACTTGCCACACAGTCCTAAATATATTCTTTTTAAAGAGAGAGACATTGTTTAAATGTATATTAAACTTTCAAATAATTATTCTCAGTATTATAGCCCAAGCCAGACTTAACAAAAATAATTACATGCAACAGATTGCAATAAAAATACAATGTTTATAATAATATGTATACTATATAATAAGAGTTCTCTAAGTTAAATAACATTCTGCTTGATCTAGATACAGCTATCGATCGATCAATCAATCGATTGATCGATTGATCGATGTAGCACCAGTTTGGTATAGTGATTAAGGTGCTGGCCTAGAAACCAGGAGACTGTGAGTTCTAGGCCTCCCTTTGGCATGAAAGCCATCTGGATGACTTTGGGCCAGTCACTCTCTCTCAGCCCAGCCCTCCTCCCGGCGTTGTTGTTGTGGGGAAAATAGGAGGTAGGAGTATTAAGTACGTTTATCACCTTGAGTTGTCTAAAATATATAAAAGGTGGGATGATGATGATGATGATAATAATATACAATACAGTGAAGTTATAGAATCTTGAACTGTAGATTTGAAAGGCATAAGGTGGGAGATTTCATTCATTCAGTTGTACCCATTTCACAGATTAATTTACACCCTTGTATATAACCATGGGCCCTCAGAGCAGTTCTAATCAAGAACAGGATATAGTTTGTAAAATCGAAATGCCAGTAATTAGTAACTAAAAGTCAGAACCATAGTTTTTTAGAAAAAAATCAATTTCAAATCAGTACAGCTGACTGCAAAGTGAGCCTGAAATTGCAGCTTATCTGATTATGATTTATGGAAATTATGATTGATGGGCAGATATATCATTCTGTTTCAGTTTCTCATTTTTCATCTTTAAATTCTTTTCAGCCTTTATCAGTTTGCAGTTTTTTAAAGAAACTTCAAAAAAGATTTCTCCTGATACATGTACTTTGCAGCTTCCCTTATTTATTTTGTAAGCTGTTTTCTCTAAGAGAATACATTTCAAAAAACATTTTTTAAAATGATACATATGGACATTTTTACTTGTGAAATAAATTTGTGGACACAGCCAGGATAACCTTCTGAAGCAGCCCTGTAAGCCTACCTGTTAAAAAATGCAGCAGCTTTAACAGTTTGAAAATAAGGGCTTTGTATGTACTCGCATTGATTCTGAATAATTTATTTCTCAAAATTTGTACAGCAATAACTATTGCCTTTGAAGTCTGTTGTTGAGTCTTCTGGGTGTCAGTTTTCAGTAGGTATCTCACTTCCTTGTATGGAAAGCAAGCTGCCAGACTAGGGCCATTGATTTAATCTGCGTGGCTGTTCTTAGGTCACATTTTATTTAGATCTTAATCTTCTAATATAATTGCTAAAGTTTTGCATTGTAACTTTCTGAAGATGTTATGTGTTTGGCTTTTAAAGCTTAACCTAGAAGAAGATGTGGTGAAAATTAACATAAACTGGAACAAACTTCAAGGCATGTCACTACCCCAGCCCACGTTGCTCTTTACTGCTCTTCAGCAACATATTTCCTCTTTACAGGTAAATGTTTCTTATCAGGTGCTTTCCCAAAACCCAGTTGCACAATTTAAACCTTAAATCCTGCACTCCACTGTTAAAACTGATGTATCAGGAATAGTTGCAGCTCACTATGTGAAATGCCAAAAGTTCTTCACTTCCTAAAGGTCCTAACTGTTTTTAAGATAACAGGTTTATTGGAAGTATTGTGGAAATACTATTGCAAGCTGTTCTGGTTAAGTAGATTGGGAAAATGCATTCCTGTTGATTTCTGCACTTCCACTGTAAATGCAGTACATTTGTATCTGGGGTGGGTTATAATTAAGCAATAACACGGCAGGTGTGTGTCATGCTAGGATAATGATTCCATGCGTTGGGTGAGTTCTGCGGTTCATGGAGTGCTTTCAGTGGATCAAGAAGTGGCATTATCCCAGCATGATGCATCCTGGTGTATGTGTGTGTTGGCAATTAACCTTAGTGTCAGCACAGATCTTTTTAAAGTAACTTTTTCTGTGCCTAATGTTTCATCTTATCAAGTAAGTAGTTTCAGTGTTACATCGTTTTCATTTGATGCCTTTTAATCTTTGTTAAAGTTAAGTTGCACTGTCTGTATCTTGGATCAATTACTAGTGCAAATCTTATGGCCTCTGCCTGGTATTCAATGAGAATATGTCCATAATTCATTTGCTTTCCTGTTGAATTAGAATGTAATCTGTCAGCATCTCCTATGAAAACTCCATTTGGAAAAATTATAAGGTTATTGGCACAATTTCAGTCTGTTCATGTGGGACCTTGATAGTGGAAATTTTCAGCTGAATATTTCATCATTCTGAATGTATACATTAAAAGTAAGTAAGATTTACTGGACAGTGAGCAAAAACTAGTTCTTGTGTCAGTGTTTCTTAATATAACATTTTTTTTACTTCTATAGAATTATCTGTTTTATTCTTTTTTAAAGAAATAGTAGCGCTTACTAAAACTTCTGTAAATAGGCATAGCATAAAATCCTGTTTTCAGAATTTCCTGATAATGGGAGCAGGAGACATATTGAAGTAGTTATTATTGCACAGCTCTTCCTTGTTTATTGTTTGGAAGTACTCTTCAGGATTGTGTCATTATTCAGTGTTTTTAAAACACAGATGCATTAAAGAATTGCTGAGCTTTTATTTTTTCCTAAGTATTTATTTTATGACTTAGTGGTAAACATTTTTAAAAAGGCAAATATGGTTTTTATATTTTAAAAAGAGTGAAGTACAGTAATAAGGAGCATTTATTTTGCTTTTTCAAATATTGGCTGCACTGGGAAATGCATGAGCCTGGAACAGGATATTTGCTGTCTCTCATGCGATTTGGGTGGCTGCCGTTTCAAGTGGAGATGCTGCCAGTGATGTAATGCTAAAGCAAAACCTTTAACAGAATGAGAGTCTTGGCTCTCATATTAAGGAGGAAAAATACTTAAGCCTTAATGTTCTGAGTAAGCATTTGAATGACATGTAAATTAAGTGGTATTGGTGCCAAAAGCTGCTGCTTTGATTTGGTACAAAACAGATGAGTAACAGACAGATTTGCTCTGATAGTCTGGGCTCTCTAGAGGGTTTTTTTTTTTTAATACACAGATTAGTAAAAGACAGTGATCAAAAGGGCAGTGACACTTCGAGATGCTGTATTTTAATTCAGGTTTGATTAGGTTATGTACACAATGATGGGAACATATGGCCTCTGAAATTATTTTGAGAAGTTTGTTTTAGAAATTCCAGTTTTTAAAAAAATGTTCTGTGGTTTAAATCCATTCTCTTTCTCTCCCATTACCTAGCCCTTTATGGAAAAACTTCAGCCTTTGATTAAAGAAGAAAATACTACACCCATTTATAATTTCAGAAAGACAGAACATGGACATTTTGAGAGTAATTCAGATGTAATAGATAAAGACATACAGAAGGAAGTGAAGCATACAGCCAGTGGCTCTGCAAATCTGAAAGAGGCTCATTTTGGTTTTGACCCAGAAGTAGTTCAGATAAAAGCTGGGAAAGCTGAAGTAAGTGAATGTAGGACCATTTCATCCTATCAAGTCAAAGCCCTTCTTTCAATCTGAATGGCAGCAATGAACTCTAAATACAAATTGTTTCTTACCTGCAGATTGAAAGACGAATATCGGCCTTCATTGAAAGGAAACAAGCTGAGATCAATGAAAATAATGTCAGAGAATTTTGCAATGTTATGGATTGTAATCAAGGTAACTATGCAGCCAAGCTTTCGTTTTCTTATGACATCACCATTCTTTCTTGCACCCCCCCATAAAGACTCCTCTTAAAAAGGGAGCTAGATTGCCCGTTAACGGTATAAAAAATAATGCAAAATATTAGATGTTTTTATTTGTCAGAACCTTACCATTATAACGCCCAGATGTATACCGTTTTATAATAAAATTCCACTAATCCCAAAGTTATTTCTTTCAAATATGGGTGGTTCTTTAGTTAATTTCCTATAGCACAATACAACTAATTTGTATTTTTATATAGGACTTGGGCTGTAAATTATCTGGGAGTAAATCCCACTGAATTTAGTACCACACTATGGAATAAGACAAAAAGACCCATGCTTTATTCTCATTTCAAGAAATGTATTAATGCAGTGAATAGCAGTAAAATATTTCCAAATTGAAATTTTATTCAAAATCTAAAAGCCTGTTAAAAATAAGAGAAACTAAATTCCAGTAATCTATTTCTTAACAGCACCCTAAATTACTCTGATTTTGTTTAAATGTGGAATTTGTTAATTTGGCCTTTTTTTTAATGAAAGGGTGCCAGCCATTTATCTAGACCAAACTTCTAGGCTAGCAAGAATGGTAGCTGTGGTCCTCTTAATGAATTTGTTTCAAGATCAAGAGTCTTATCTGCTTGATGTTAAAGATTGAGTTCTTAAATAAAAGTTAGCAATTTGACATCCACATTACGATTATTAAAATAGATTAAATGAAATCCAGTAATCAGATCATATACATAATTTGCAAATTATAAATAAAACCAAAAGCAAACAGTAATTCATGTATGATGCATGCCATTTCCTTCTTAAAAACAAAACAAGATTTTTCAATAGCTTTCAAGGAAATATACCAGTTCCTGTCATAAAGAGGTTTTTCATTTCTGAAAATAAATATGTTTTAATCTCAATAACATATTTATTTCCAAGTGAAAAGTATCTGTTGTATCTATTGAAGGAATTTATTAATTATGAATTACCTTAGGTAATATTTGATGTAACTTAGCAGGAATGAGCTCTTTGTTTCTTACTAAACCCATTATTTCTTTGCTTAGAGAAAAATACCCTGCCCCAAAATAAAATTTTGGTTCAGATGATGATTATGATTTATGATTTTCAGTTATGAAAAGCATCAGCAGATTTGTCATCTCCATCTATTGTGTATAAAATATATTTGTCTCAACTGAACTGATGATTTAATAATGCTTCTTTATTGTATATTCCAATGCACATTTGGTAATATTGCCCCTTAGAGCTATGTATAGTCTTTTGTCAATACGAAAAAAAAAGTTTAAAGGTATAGTTAAAACCTTTGGGTATTTTCACTTCTTGTAAAAGGGAGGGAAGGGGTTTGTGTCTGTTTTCTTATCAGTATACTAATTTCAGATAAGACATAAGATTATTTACATCTTCACCAATACACAATCCTGCACATATATATTTGGGTTAAGCCTCACAGACTTCAGTGCCAGTTTCTTTGGGCAAAGATACATTAGAAGGCTCTGCAGCCTATTTGAATCCAGTGTATAAATGAAAAGTAGTAAAAAAGTTCTTTAGGTTAGAAATCCTAGTAAAGACACAGCTGAAGACGTACCAGAATTATTCTTAATTGTTATCTTCTGTACCTGACAGTTTAAGAATGTAGTTAAGGTAAGATTCAGACAACTTATCAAACCATAATTTGATTTTAATTTTACCAAATTTGGTGAATTAAGCCATGATGTGTGATAAATATAGCTTAGCATAACCTCTGAATCCACCAATATTTCTCATGTTGTTGAATGTTTAGAGTGAATTCTGAGCTTCCTAAGTGGTTGAAGTAATGATTTCTTGTTCAAAAACATCCTTAGAAAACAGCTGTGCTAGAACTGATGCAGTGTTTACACCTTACCCAGGATTCAAAAGTCATGTGAAGGGTAAGTACTACTATTATATCTTTCACTGACCACTTTTCAAAGAACTAACTAATAAGGGCAAGAGGAGCCTCTTCAGTTTCATTAAATATATTTTTAAACCAATTTCGGTGTATTCTGTAAATGTTCATGTTCCTTTCACTATGTATTTTAAAACAAACCACTGTTGCTAAGTGTTTGTCTAAGACTCTGTTAATTTGGTAAGCCAATAGCAAGCCATTTTTTCCAGCTTCATTAGACTTATACCTTACTTTATATTAAATGTGCGTCTGCAGAAAGAAATGCTGGAAACCTTCAGGGAGGGAAGTGTTGAATAATTGAAGAAAATCTAAGGCTGCAGTTCTTAGCGGTTCATGCTTTGGAATAAACAGCTGTATGACCAAGCTGTGATCATTTTTGCTGAAGACCATAGGTCTCAGAAATTGTTTGGGGGTGGTGGTAAAAGTTATCTTCCACTTCTATTAATTATTAATTATTAAGTCTTTTTGAATTTCTAAAATCTTTTTCTCTCCTTTCTATATAGTGACTGTTTTACTGCATTTGAGCTTTATTGTATATTGTGGTCATGTTATTTGACTAGCTCATTTAATTTCTGTTAATAAACAGTAGCAATAACATTAAATTTAGGCTCACAGAGGAAAAGTGAGGTAGAAATGTTTTAATTAAATAATCCAGTGGCTTGCTGTTTTAAATAAAGAGCATGAAAAGTTCAGGAATTCACTTTTTTATTATTATTCTAGCATGAAAAAAAATTGTCTAGACTGTGTCAAGTAAAAACTGCCCTTTAATTTTTGTGAGCTGTCTGCTGTGAGCGTCTGGTATTCATATTAGAGACATATTCTTCGATGCGAGAAACAGTTGAGTAACAGCTATTAAATTGAGGACTGAAGTTTCTTTGAGAGTTGACACATAATTCAAAAACACTTAGGTTGGGTTTACACAGTGCTAAGCCATGGTATAGTTTCTTTTATTTTGTTTTAGCATCTTGGTGAACCTAACCACTGTCATTTATCAATGATAGCTTATCATTTAGCATGTTGCATATTGCTAATTGGGGTTTATTTTGTAAATTATGATAAAGCAAAGCTTTCATTAGCCTTAGTGTTAAATAGCTGTGAGTTTATCATACTGAAAATACATTTTCCATATTGGCTATAATAAATATACAGAAAAATGTATAGTATAACTGATAAAAGCAAAATGAAAGATAGTAATATTATGAGCATGAATTATACAAGGAACAAGAACGTTTTGTTTGTTTTTGTTTTTTAAAACTAATTTCAGTAAAATCTCTCCCGCTGGCCACTGTCAAAAAAAAAAAAAAGTCACATATACTTTAAACAAGAGATAGCTGTGTCTGAGGTTCCTAGCTTCTGTCAGGATATGATGTTAGGTAATCCTTTCCATCCCTATTATGGAATAAGCCCCATTTAACCTAATGGGATTTTCAACTAAAAGGCTAAGAACAGATGGCCTTGTTGGTCCTGTTAAATGGATAAATACTAACCTTGTACTTTTAAAAATCATAGTTTCTCGAGTTATAAATACTTATGGCCCTCAGACCAGAAATGAAGATGCTCAAGTTTCCAGCCATAAAGCTAATACTCAGTCTCATGATTGTGGAAATAAAGCAATAGAAGAGAGACTACAGAACATTGAAGCTCATTTAAGGTTACAAACAGGTTAGTAGAATGAGTTTATAGTTGAATTCTAAATTGTAATTTTTCCAGCAACAGCCAGCAAAAGTATAATTTCATGTTGTATCTCTTACTTTTGGACCACAGAATTCTTCTGCGACAAAGAATGAAATGGATTAGAGTTGTAAAATCTGGATAGGCTTAAATGTATTGATGTATAGTACAGGTAGTCCCCAGTTTAAGAACAAGTTCCATTCCCAGGGTCTGTCCTTAAGTCAAATT